TAACTGTGAAACCAGAATGCTAACCACTTGACAACTATAATTTGCTACATAATGCAAAACTGCAATTTTTTTTTAGTCAATGTAGACTTGCAGGTTAAAAAAAGAAACTAAAGTGTAACCACGGGCAAAAAACTATGTTTTCCTGAGTCTCCTTTGTAACAGTGCCCCATCACCTGTTATTTCCCACTTCCTGAAATAGGGTGACAATGCTGTTTGTTTGCCTAGCAGTGTTGTCATCTCGTGGACAGGGTAGTCTTAGACAGACAAGTATGTTAAATGGGCTTTAGGTAAGAGGCAAAAAATAGAGTCCAGTTAACACTTTGTAAAACTGACCATTGTAAGCATCCATATGAGAGTTATACAGTTTCTTCCAACCATTCTAATTGTCACTTTTGCTTGACAACTGGGCCTGTTACAAGAAGTGAAAAAATATTGTATCTGCTAGGCAGGATCAACTGGTAATAAAACAAATAATGCTGTGCTAATGCTAATGGCAGACTATATTGTATAGGTCATTTTTTCTATTGTCCATAGTTACACTTTGATCCAATAATACATAAAAATAATATCTACTTGTCTGTATATGCATTTTGGTTTTTAATGCACCCTTTGGAAATAAAGCATGGATGTACAGAATTGTGGGTCTGCATTGGGAAATTAAGCCCTTGTCAACCAATGACCTGGGTCTTTGTGCTTCAGTTAGCAGACAAACCATGAGACACAATTCAGTTTGATCCATCAAAAGCCACTCCTCTCATTCACACAGTAAGATTCAGGAAAGAAAATGCCGCAGCTTACAGTCTAAAGAAAAAAATTGCATGCAGCTTGCCCAGTTTGAGTCTATACAGAGAAGCAGTTTGTCTTCAGGTTAGCTCCCAGTACACTATTCTACTTTCTTATTCCCCCACGTATATATTGGGGCAGATTCTCTACCCATAAGCCCCCATCCTTAAAAGCAGGATCCCCATTGGATCCAACTGAGGACCGTGAAATCAGTTTCTTGTAGTTTACTAAGGGACACAGGATTCAGTTATACAGAGACAATTGGGTTATATTGACACCTACGAGAGGATTTGGACACCGACAAATGAAAAAAAAAAAAAAGATTGGACAGCCAGGTGTAACCTTTATCCCACTCCCAGCATGCTTCAGCTTTGTAGAAAATACTAGGAGTAGATCACAAACACAGAGGGATGAGACCTGTGTCTCTTAATTAACTCTTAAGTACCTGAAGTACAGAAATCCTTTTTTCTTTCTCATTCATTAAGTTACACAAAGCCTTAAACCTAAAGATGGCATTAGATAAGACTTGCGCAGTAGTGTGTAGTAAAACATAGAGAACGTGTACAGAGTCAAACCCAAGAAGCACTTATAGACCTAGCAGAGTGTACCTTAACAGGAAAGGGTGGAACCCCAAAGACCATAAGTTTGTGTGATGTTCTGTCTGAGGCACTAAGAAATGGTGGAACATGAAGCTGGTTCCCATCAGTATGGTATATTTAAGCCTGGGAGCAACAAAATCATTCATCAAGGATTTATGAGACTGACCACAGCTGATGAAGTTAAGAGAGATCCCAAGGAGCATATGGACTTAAGCAGGGGACAATGTTCCAGGCTTTCAGTAGCAAGCCCTGACGAGGGACATTGCAGGCCACCTCAGAACTTTAAGTGAATGGTAGCTAGAGAGTACAGATGCATTGGAACTGCCCCCTTCAGGCTTGGGATTGGACATGGTGCACCACTTATTTGAGAACTCAAAGGTCTAGAAAGTACCGCAAGCATAGCCCAAGGTCACATTCCAGACACCCTTCAAAAGTATTGCTGAGGATACACCAATCTGGATAGCTGCATAAAGAGCTCAGCTTAGCAGCATGTAGATGAAGTATTGATAGAAGAAAAACTCATTTTGAAAAAGACAAAATGACTAGTAAAACAATTAAACTTTTCTCAGTAGAGAAAAGATCTCAATCCTCCTAGGACACTAGCAAAATGCTAGTGGGGACAATAGAAAAAAACTAAAGAGGGGCTATACCTGACTGGCCACTGCTTTTTTTTTGGTTGCCAGTGTCCAAATCCTCCTGTAGGCAGCAGTATAAAATAATTGTATCTTAATAACTGAATCCTATTTCCCTAATGAACAACAAATCTAGCATGTGTGTCATCGGTGGGAGAGCCAAAGGATCCAGGAAGAGAAATCCAACTACTGATGATTTTAGAAAAATGGAGAAAGAAGAGCAGTAGGAGTGATGGCTTGGTGGGCACAGAGGGATTACAAAAACTATTGAGTACCCAATATTAATTAAATAGCTACATGTAAATTGTGAAAGAGTGGTTCAGGGAGCATGAGAAATTTTTCCAGGCCTTAACCCCATTGATAATCTTTGGGATGTGCTAAAGAAGACTTTACCCAGTGGTCCGACTCTCCCATCATCACTACAAGATCTTGGTGAAAAATGAATGCAACTCTGGACAGCAATAAATGTTGTGACATTGCATAAGCTTATCAAAACAATGCCATGGCGAATACATGTCATAATCAAAGCTAAAGGCAGTACAACAAAATATTGTGTAGTGACTTTTTTACTTTTGGACTTTGTTTAAGGGGTATCGAAACCCAAGATCTAAAATGTATAATATTTCAGCTTACCAGTCCTTAGATGAGATGGCTTCATTAGTATTCTTTTTTTTCCTGGTGCTTGTTTCCTTTATTTTCACCAGGCGATGCAGCCAGTAACACAATTCCGGTTCTAGGGTGTCAATTCTCACTCACCATACTAAATGTATGGGGTAGCAGTATTGTCACCCTAGGGCAGGACTGCAGAGCAACTCCCCATCCCCTTTTCTCCATAACATAGGAATGGGTTTTGCAGTCTTCATAGGGATCCAGGAACAATGTTAACTGACAGTCAGCACGGGCAGAGAGCACAGAAAGTTATCAGCTCACAAGATCTTGGTAGGACCAATGGGAATTTTTTGTTGCACATACTGAACAGATATGAAACAACAAATAAGAAAAGATCGTTAGGCTTTACATACACTTTAAGGAGTCCTTGAAAATAAAATTTCAGCCATTGCCAATATTGTTTTTATATATTTTTTATCATGTACCAACAAAATATATACAGCTTAATAGTTCAAGCAATGCTTTATACAAAAAAAACAGCAATCAGTTCAGTCTTTTCAATGTTATCAGCATCTTATTACTTAACAAATCTGCACAAGCTCCAGCTCACATTTTGTTGAATGCACACGTTGTTCATGAGTCATATACTGTAATTTCAGTTTTAAAAAGTAATGTTTGAATTGTAGGACTGATGTTACACAGGCTTTATCTGATCCAGATGTCAAATGAAAACCATGTTGATGTTGTTTAATGAATACAAGTCAAAAATAAAAAATGCACAGTGGCAGAACTACTACGACAGCGTCTCTGCAACCACTGTGAGGCTGAAGGGCACGGAATGCTGTGATAGATGCCCTTTCCTTGTACAGACAAGTCCCAGTACCTACTGTCAATGCTGTCTGGCCAGAATCACAATGGTTTGTATTATTACAAATCACTACCACCTCCTCTCTATGTCTGGATGGGCAGTACCGCCCATGCTGCCAGTCTCTAATTACAGAGGTTTGTATCGTTACCAACCGAACCCCATCTGTTCTCTGAGACTTAATGGGCAGTACAATCTATGTTGCCTGTTCAGAACCACAGAGGTTTTGTATTATTAGCAACCAGACCCCACCTCTTCTTTGAGTCTGGATGGGCAATACTATCTTTGCTACCAGTCCTTAATCACGGAGGCTTTGTAAAATTACCAACCACCCACACCTCCTATCTAAATCTGGATGGGCAGTACCATCCATGCTGCCAGTCCCTAATCACAGAAGTTTTATATTATTACCATATGCCCACGTCTCCTTTTTTTAAGTCTTGACGTGCAGTCCATTCTACCAGTGCTTAATTACAAAGGTGTGCATTATTACCAACCAACCCCTACATCTTCTCGCAGTCTAGATAGGCAGTACCATGCTTTCTGCCTGTCCAGAATCACATACATATGTATTATTACAAACCACCCTCACCCCCTCCGCTCCCTAAAGAGTCCATGTAACTTATAACCAGTCAGGAAGGCCCTAACACTTGTAAGGGGCCCTTTAAGGGTTGACATTTGCATGCATCTTCTTAAATTCAACACCATCCTGCCATGAAAGAACTGTGCGTGTGCAGATCAGGGGATGGTCTGCCAAAGGTAACATGGCTGGTTGGTGTTAAGGAACAGTGAGAGACCTAGCTATTTCCCCATCCCATTCACAGACCCCCATCACAGATTATTCAGCTGATAATAAAACCAAGGAAGATTGTAGAATCATATTGTACCATATGTGGTCAGCTATGCACAACCATATCTGCCAGACATTTCATATTTTTTATAGGTATTATTACCTTTAACATAATGTATCCTTTGTTTTAGGATTACTTGACAAAAACTACTGTTTCCCTAATGGAGAGTATCACCCAAAAGCTTAAAACTTTAAAAACTTGGCAAATTGCTAGTATTGCCCCCTCCACCATGGAGTTTCATACTTCTTGGTGCATTCTTCTAAATATAAAATGAATACAATCTCCAGTAAGGAGAGAGGAGCGAATGGACTGAGATTGAAACTCAGATTCAGAGATTCCACCAAAGGAACCAATAACAGAATCCAGAGGGTGATTCAGACATCCATCTACTCAAAGCACAATGACAATATTAATTGAAGTCCCCTTATAAACAGCAAATAACGACTCATTAACAAATGCTGTTTGCACACTCCATATTCGCTGTACAGATTCACTATAACCCGGAAAAAAGTGCACAGTTTGTCATTCTGGAGATATATACAATTTGATTGGTTTGTGGAATCAATGGAATTCGTGGAGTGTCCTGTGGTTTATCCCGGAAGAACGAAATTATAAAATTAGCCTTGGTCAAGTGGTTGGAATGGGTAATTAAAGTGGATTAGAAATGTCAGTGGATCACATTAAAGACGCCCTTTCTTAGCATCACCAATGGCTCCCCAGACATCGAAGACAAACTCGTCCGGGAATGCAAAGTCTCCAAGAGCTTCATCCAAAGCCACCGCAAACTCATCTGGGTTATTCTTGTCCCTTCCGGCTTCCACCATTGTCGCAGCTGTCGACAAAACAAAAATACAGAGATGTGTCAGAACAGGTCATATAGAAAAACAATGTTTTCAGTTGTGGGGTCTATCATTGCAATGCTCCTCTCCGTGGTCATACAAAGTCCACCAACTTGGCAACTTATACATTTTTGTTTTATAGTTCAAGAACCTACCAGATTGGATATAAATTGAATGACAATTGTTGGTCATCTAAAGCTCATCAAAACAGGTTACAATCTGAATGTACACACTACTTTAGAGCTACCAAAACTGTGCAATAGGAGGATCCATCTAAACTACCAAATCGATATGTACCCAGTTGGGCAGAACCATGCGCTACTTAGCTGTTGGTATATCGTAGGGCCTGTGTTGATGGGCTTTGGGCTTGTTTTGATGGCATGAGTGTGAAGTCAGTTTGAGATGCTTCTGAAAACATTCTGAATCCACTGACAGATGCATTTGACCTCCTTCTGGCCCCAGCATTTTACCTGCTTTAAACAAGACTTGTATGGGAATCCAAAACTCGTCCAAAAGAGATTTACAGTCACATTATATTGTGTGTGGTGAGTTTTAAGAGAACTGCACAGAGACAGTACAATTGTATATAGTTAGCAGAGACCTTGAGGTGTAGAATGAGAAGGGGGGGTATGAGAGAAAAAGTAGAGTGGATGGGAAGATGAGTAAAGAATATATTTGCATGCTGTATTTCCTTTGATAATTAGCTAAAAATAAACCAGGATGTTTATTTCTTGCTATAAACAGATCATATAAAAATAGCATTGTACTGAAATGCAGACAGTAAAAGAGTTTGTCGAGATTGGAGAAATGTTCCATTGAAAATATATCATCCAGTGATATTGTAGCCACTAGGTGGTGATGTCCAATAAATACTTGAGTATCCTATGACATGCTCCTGAAGCAAAACATGCAATAATGCTGACGCCATTTGTAGCAATATATGCAATCATATCAGAAGATCATATGTTCATGCCTTTATGCCTTTTTTATTTTTATAACAAGCTCATGCTTATAATTCGAAAACATCTGCCTGTGATATACAATACTGCCACATAAAATTAGTGCTGCGGTATGAAACCAGATGCAGTTCCATGAATATAACATAACGACTTCTGGATAAAATGTGTCATCGGCTCCTTGTGCGCTCTGACCTTTAACAGTACAGCTTTTAGTTTTCGGATGCAGAGTCTTAGTTTTCATGAAGTGTTTGGTCCTGTGGAAGGAAAGAAGCCTATCTTTGACAACCTCCTACTTCAGTGTATTCTGTTGATCAACTAGTCATTGCACACAATCTTATTTACCAGTGAACCCCTTTCTCTGCACAAACTGACTTAAAACTTGTTATCACCTGCCAGAAAATGATTGAGAATGTTCAATATGGGTGTTGCTGCAGAATCACAGTCCAGGACACAGAGTGCTAATAACCTGATATAATTTATAAAATAAGTACACTTTTAGACAAAGTGTACTTCTCTGTACCCCCCCCCCCCCCCTCCCCTGACCTAAACGATCCCACCCTTGCCCTTCACAGATCTAAACTGAGATCCAAGGCCCATGCTCCAGTGTCTGCTGACATCTAGCGCTACAAGACCCTCTCTCCTGACTGGGAGATTACACCATAGAAGTCTATGGGGCTGTTATGTGCAGGTGCGGCCAGCAGAGGGAGCATTGAGGCGCTGGATGTAAACACTAGTGGAACCATGCCCTTCAGATCTTGGTAAGCTCAGATCTGTGGAGCGGGCGGGTGGGGTCTTTTAGTTCAGTGGTGCGAGCAAAAAGGATAGGTGCACTTTGTTTTAAATCTATCCTTTAACTGCTTATTTTTTGCTCTGTGAAGTTCTAGGCTACAAGCGCTACAATCTGACTGTACAATCCTCCTTTAGATTTTTAATATCAGAACTAATCTAGGCAATACATTTGTATACAATTAGACAGGGCCTTGCACTCCATAGTTGTTAGTAGATCCAAATGAGATTGTACAGTCAGCTTGTGACAAGTGTAGTGAGCTTTAGATCTACAATAGGACCTCTGCTGCCCACTAGCTTGCAGAAAGTAAATTACCAGGAACCTTTACTTCTTTGTTGAGCCAAACCGCTGGCAGAATCTTCAGCATCTGACCAGTCTAATGCCTGGTCCCCCTCTGTGTGTCTTGACCTTGCAGGTCACAGTACTGATGTAGGGGCTGGGGGAAGAACCACAGTGCACATCGTGGGACCAGCATCTGATGCACCAATGTTTGATGTTGAAGATTCTTTCAGTCACTTATCTCTTTAACACAATGGTGGGACAGGTGCGTATCAAGCCTGAAGAAGGACTACCACTCCATGTAAGATATAGCTCTTTTACTGCAAATAGCAATCACAGACGCAAGGTTCAAATGCACACTTGTCCTCTTTGTCAAGGCTTCTAGACTTTGGGCAAAGGGGATCTGCATGCCCTTGAAATATGTGTCAGTGATTGATGTTTGCAGTAAAAGAGTTCAATCTTACAAGGAGTGGTGGTCTTTCTTCACACTAAATCTCTAGCAGCGCGACCACTAGCTGTGGACCCTGGAGTCGAGAGGTGTGTGTGAGGAACAGATACATATTTCGCTAGGTGTGAACTGTGGGTGGGAGGTGGTGATGAATGGCAACACAACGCACCTCCTGCACCAGAACGCATAGTAGGTGTGATTGCGCTGTACAGTGAGTTAATGGCACAGGACTGTTCAATTAACGCACTGTACTATACTAGTGTGAACGGGCCCTCAAAAACACTGCCAGACACACACAACCACAGACACAATCTCACACACATATACACACTCCAAAAAAAATGATTTTTTTTTTAAAGATCCATCCAGTCTCCCTACCTTACGAGAACTGGAGTGGATCCTCAGCCTGGGGTCCTGTGTGGGCTGCTGTGTTGTGATGGAGCTCTATCCATACTGTACATGCATTGCTTGTACAGCTCCCTTTCGGGCCCTGTTGAGGTGCCGGGAGACAGAATGTGATGTCACTCCGGTCCAGGCACCTCTGCAGGACAGGCGAGGGAGCTGTAAGCAATGCACGTATAGATGGAGCTCCCTCATGGCCATAGCTCCAGCCCACCGCACCCCACCTCAAGCTGACATTCGGCATGGGGCAGCATATTCTGAATGGCTGCTTGGCCTGATAACTGACAGTGCTGCACTAGGGGGGGGACTGAGGAGCCTCTCACCTAGAAAAGTGGAAGGCACATGGCGACCCACTGAACACGGGGTCGCGACCCACTTTTGGGTCACAACCCACCAGTTGAGAACCATGGGTGTATATTTATTTTCTTTTATGCATATGGAATACAGTATATAAGCCTCAGCATTTGAATAGGGTCCAGTAAGTGCATTCCCTCCGCCCGGAAAGAGTGACGGGTTGTTCAGGCACCAAGCACAGCATTGTAAATTAGTGGATTGAGCATTCATATTTGCCCCATAGCTGAAAGTACAGACTCTTTTAACTGCCTCCGGGCCGGACGTAGTAGAAAAACGGCCGGCCGGGAGCTCTCTAGATCTGAGCGGGCGTCTTTAGACGTCTGCTCAGACACGCCCCCTCGCGCGTGCAGATGGCGCGCACGAGGGTGAAATGGCCGTTATTTAAAAACAGGCAGCGATGCCTGTTACCATACAAGCGATATGCCGGCTGTAGAGCCTGCAGATCGCGTGTATGGGGTGCCGATCGGTGTGTGTGTGTGTGTGTGTCCTCCGCGCCCCCCCGCCGTTGTCCCGCTGATCCCGGGCTCGTGTACCCCTTGGTACACAAGCTCCCTCCGGTCCCCTTTCCTCTGCAAGAATGCGGAAGTGTTGTATAATACATCACTTCCGCATTCTTGTGTCACTCTCCAGCTTCAGAAGCTGCAAAAGAAGCTGATGGAGCCGATCTGTGCTTCATCAGCTTCTTTTTGGGGGTCCTATGTGACATTAGGGGTCTTGGAGACCCCTGATGTCTCCATAAAGAGGACCGGTCACATATTTTGCTATCACATAGGGGAGTTTAATTAGCCCGCGTATGTGATAGCAATAAAGTTTAGTGAAAAAAATTTCAGTTTCCCCCCCCCCCAAAATTTAAAGTTACACATAAAAAAACAAAAAAAAAATTTAAGTCCCCACCCATACATACACGCATGCAAACATGCGTCGGGGGCGCATACGTGCAAAAAAGACGATTGCTCCCATTACGCTGCACATGTTACATATCGCCGCGAACGTCGGAGTGAGAGCAATAAGTCTAAGGCCATCAATCACTGATAACAGTAAACTGATGAGCGGTAATAGCTTTTAAAGTGTCGCCTATGGCCCATTTTGGGTATGGTAGTTTTCTGCAATTTCGCGGGTGCGCGCAATTTTAAAGCTTGACATGTTTGGTGTCTATTTACCCAACGTGACCCGATCTTTTTTATTTTACCAAAAAACTGGGTAATAATAAATGTTTCCTAACATAATGTTAAAAAAAAACTTTTTTTTCTCAAAAGTTTCTGTCATTTTTCCTAATTATAGTAAAAAATAAAACCCCCAGTGGTTATTAAATACCACCAAAAGAAAGCTCTATCTGTCCCCAAAAAATGGTATAAAATGTATTTCAGTACAGCGTTGCATGACGGAATAAACATCAGTCACAGTACTCCAGCGCTGAACACTGAAAAATGGCCTGGCCAGGAAGGGGGTCTAAACACCTGGTCTTGAAGTGGTTAAGGAACTCCACTGAAGCATTAGGGAGGAGGGCAGCACACACTGCTAACCTTCCACAGTGTTCTTTGTAGCATAGCACCATGTTACAGAGATTGAGAGTGATGCCTCACATGTGGATCCCAATACTGACTTTGCAATTTTCAAACCTTCTGGTAGGTCAGCCAGCTTATTTATACCCAAGCTATGGCTCCATTTGTAAGTAAATGATACAATGAAAAGCATAACCAAGATGCAGTCAGAGCACAAATTCCAGAGAAAGGCTAAAGCTTGTGTACCTAGCACGTTAAAGGACACACAGTCCATGTGACAGTACAAGCCTGTGCCTATTTATGTGTGAACCTTTGTGGACTTGGCGACTGCCATTGCACTTTCCATCCAGGGAAACAAAAAGATCCTTTATGAACATCTTTGGTCTCCCAGAGTAAACAAATTAATTCTATTAAAATACAATCTGCTGCCATTACTGCTTAGCACATTCACAAATATCACATTAAACTGAAGACTATTTAGAAAAATATCAAATTATGGGTGGATTATTTACAAGAATCCCATTACATAAGTTAAATTAGGATCACGCGGTTTTCATTAGCTGTCAAACTGTGGTTTTCTTTTTTTTCTAAGTGAATCCAGGAACCTGGAACACGAAGTTCAGACTATAATTTCTTACTGCAGCAATACCGGTTCAATGTCACAGACGCGGCAGTGCTATCACCAACAGATCTCAGGTAGGGCCAGATATAGGCCAGGTGGTCATGCTTAGCTGGCTCAGCTTCCGTCTGCATATAATTAAAAGGTTATTCCTATTATCTACAGTAATGTGCGGTACTGTTTTATTATAGAGGAAAATCAAATTAAAATTGTATTTTGCTGCACTGAATTTAGAAATGTGCAATTTAAGAAATTACTGTTTTATGCGAATGGATTCCCTGCATCCTTCTTCATATCCCTGTTAATAAAAAATAGTACTGTTTACCGTAAAAACAACTTGCTCTATGGGGCTATGGACAGAAACCTGAAGTGCTACCTCTTTTTTTAAACTAGTTTTTATATACAGTAGGTGAATGCAGTCAGCTGAAATTTTATCTCCAGTCCAGGCTTTCTCAACCAAGTTATAATGCTTGTTCCTGTACAAGTCGTCTGAGAATAGCTTGCTTAGTGTAGTTTCACCTTTAGTATCCCCCGTTCCCCTAAGGCAAGTATGCCTACCGATACTTGGTTGCCCTAGGACTTTTACACAATGCTATATTCTCTGGCCAGGTAGTACAAAAGGCTGAGCAAGAGTAGAATGAAGAGTACCTGTGGTTAGGGAGGTGCAGATGTCCATAGAGGATGGCAGAAGTGGTGCCAAAGCTGGGGAGTAACCAGAGTGATGTAGGAAGAGGCTGGCAGCAGCTCGTATGGCATAGTCAGAAATGTGAGACTAAAAATAAATCTGTATTTCTTTATTAAATTTCCATAAGTTCTATCCCGCTCCTAATGTCCATATCCATCTAGAAGTTTGTAAACTTATTTGTTGAAGATGCCCATAGGAAAGACTTCCTCAATGTACTGACACAATGTCACTCAGCCCTGTGAGTATGCATGTGAGATAGGGATCTTAGATTGTATGCTCCTTCGGGGCAGGGACCGTTGTGCAACTATGTAAAGTGCCGCATAAATTGTCGGCGGTATATAAATACCTGTAATAAACAAATAAAATAGTCTTGAGAAATCAAGATTGTATCGCATCAAGCCGCAGAGAAAGAGATGTAAAGCACACTGGGAATCCAGGAAGTTGTTGGAAGTGATGGGCAGATGGAAAGCAGCACTCACTACATAAAAGGGATTTTTTTTTAAGTAAGCTTTGATTGCATTATCAAACACAACTCTAGTATGTATTCCTATTACAATGCTGATGTTATAACAGGAGAGGATGTGCTGGGACTTTACAACTCCTTTAACAAACAGATATTACATAATGCTGTCAATGGTATATTTAACAGACCAAAAGAGAGCAAATAAGAGAAGTTCATTGGTGGGGTTTATATACACTTTAGGTTTTGTATACTTGCTTGCAGTGTGATGGCTTTTTGTATCTATCGTAAAGTGAGAGGCAAAGAATCACCACCAGTATTCACAGTCCTGCAGTCAATGTAAAGCTAAGTGATGGTGTCCCCCTGCCCTGTTGGATTCCGCACAATGCAGAAGAAACAACTGGGGAGTAGTGATTAGGGGGGCTGGCTGCAGACCAAGTTCCCCAAGCCTGTGCAAAACTGTCAATGACAGACATCCCTCCTGGCCCAATCAGTTGCGGTAGAGGCATTCCCCAACCATTTGTGATGAGTAGCTGCGGGGCGGGTATTGCTTCTGCCACAACTGACAGTTTTGAGCGGTGTTGAGCTTGGTTTGCGCCAAGCCCCCGCACATCACTACTTCCCGGTTGTTTCTCCTACATTGTGTGGAATCCACCAGGACACTACTGGGAAGTCAAGTTGTGCAAAATGCTTACTGTGTAACACCAAACAAGCACCTCCAAAAATGGCACTGCGTCATGTAGCATAGGTATGAACGGGCATCATAGAGAATAATTCTTAGATGCTCTTTTTAAAAAAAACTGTTTACCCAGATCAATAGCTCAAGCTCATATTCACAAACAAACAAAAGGTATGGCTCATCCCCCTTCCTCACCATGTCTGCCTGCGCTGTTCTGACAGGACTTTATAGGAGGAATTTATCAAAACAGGAGCAGACAGAATCTGGAGCAGTTGCCCATAGTAATCAATCAGCTTCTCACTTCAGTTTGTTCAGTTAAAGTAGAACTATGAGGTGAGTGATTTACATTCATCCTCATAGTTAGAAACGATGTGTGACATTGAAACTGTCACAGGTCGGCTCTATTGATCGGGAATTAAACGAACACATGCCATTGCTCGCTCACTTCCCGATCATCTCCCTGCAAAGGGATCCACAGGAATTCTCCTCTCCCCTCTCTGATCCTCCAGCGCTGACTGGAGGAACGGACAGGAGGGTGGGCGGGCACAGCTGGTTCTACCTCTTAATAGGCAGAGCCCGCTATCAATCAGCCAGCTGGGTGGATCTCGACAGTATTGTCAGGATCCGTCCCGGCTGCGGCGCTCTCGGTATATAGTGGGCAATAGCCCACTATATGCTGAGCTTTGGGTCACAGGAGGAGGTTAGTATATGTCCTCCCGTGACCCTAAAGAGAACTATAGGATAATAGGACTATAGGATAGTTCTCTTTTAAGATTTGAAAATGAAAGAGAGAAGCCAGGAAACTGCTCCAGATTCTGCCTGCTCCAGTTTTGATGAAGTTCCTATTGTTTTCAATTACAGACAGAATCTTAACAACTTCTGGCTCCACCTACCCGGAGGTGAGTATTTGCGCACTTTCGTTCTGCTTTAAAGGTTTGTTTTTTTAGCAAAATAAATATTTTATATTAATTGGTACATAAAGGCATAAACCAGCAATTTAGAAAGTTATAATAAAATTGATCCAGAACCTTTACTGTTTCCATTTAACTGTACTGTAATAAAATATGAATGTTGTGTCTTGTAGTAAATAGAGCGTAGGGCATTCCAAGTAAAATCCTAAAGCAAGCCAAAATACTTTCCATGTGTGCAAGATGTGATGAATTTTGACAAATATTTTAAAATCATTGTGTTTAGGCCATCTCGACAGCTTACACAACACCGCCTCACAAATACCAACAGGAGAACATAAGGAAATAATTTAACGAGCAATTTCGCTGGCAGCCAGGCCACAGCTTTGGAGTAGAAGGGATTTGGACTCAGGTAGCCTCACGGCAGCCATGTTATTGAAGCCGACCGCTTTAAAAAATCCTAGGTTTATCGGTCTGTGGTTACTTTTTGGGTAAATACTTCAAATAGGTGTAGGGTGAGCCTGTGTTTATTTTCAAGAATCAGCCCAGCGAAAACTTTCCATGAACTCCACTTGACTTTTTGGCTTGAAAAGCTCAAAGTTCAGATTTGATTTGTGAAACAATCCCGAGAGATGTGTTTTGTTAGGCCGAGCGCCAGCTGCAGCCCAGTAAAACCGTCTTCGCCACAGGCCGTGAATTCAAGGCATTTTCAGTGAAAATAAATTGAATTTCCCCAGTCTTCTACTTTCCATTAGGTTTTTACCGTCTCGAAGTACGCCATTTCGGCTCAGAAACCTCAAGATTGTTTGAAAACCGCATTTTAATAATGCATATACAAGCAGAACATTTCCCAGAGCCCCCAGGCAACACAGATCCCCGCTGGGAGGGGATGAGGGTAATACAGAAGGGGGATTATGGCGACCTTTGAATCTTATTATACGAAGATGAAAGGGGACTCACCTAACTCGATGTCTCTTATGCCCATGTAGCTCTCTAGAAGGTCATCCACTTTCTTGATCGCCTTTTCTTCAAAAGCAGTCGGCTACGAAAGGACAAGAACAGAAATGATTTTTAAGAGAACGTAAATGATATTTAAATAACAAGCAACTTATAAATGTCAGAGTTCAAAGACTAGGTTACTGTAAGTCAAGGAATCACCACTGAATTGAAACTTTCCTTCTCCACAAATATAGTGTTTTAAGACAGGAAAGAGAGTTTATACAATTGGTAAGTACTTTCTATTACCCATTTTGTTTCTATATGTCAGTCACAGTCCTGAAAGACAGTAGACCCAGGCTTCTGACCAGACATTTCTCTGCTACAGCAAGGCAACAAAGTTTGGTCACAGCCCTGCCCCCAGCCAGGACAGTGAAGGAGTAGCGAGGAAATAATGAGCTCATTCCTCTACTCAGTCTGTCTCTCCTATCATCAGCAAGTTCCTTCTGAAAGCAACAGGTTCACTTAACACTGCCCTCTCCAGCTACACATACTTTCCTTGGCTCCCTGTTCAACCACCACAGAGCAAAGCCAATTAGGCCTTGGCAATCTCCAAGTCACAAAGGCTGAGGACTCTCTCCATATCCCCAGGTGACAGCACTGCATTCCTGAGTAACTAATCAGCACCGTTGGCACTGTGACATAGATGGAGGCGCAGTCAGAGTCTCGTGGGACTTGAAATTCCAGAGCAGCTGGAATACCAAGGTTGCCTACCCCTGTTATATGACATGCTAGAAGATCTGCATGAACAACAATGGTCATTCCCTTTTCTCTTAAAGCAAGGGAACACGCCACCCACTTTGGAGCAAGCACTACATCCAAATATCGGCTGATGTTTGAATCTACTGTATGTTTCGACCAATGTTTGGAAGGCTCCTCACTGGTCTATCTAAATGTGTATGAATGTTATATGATGGAGGTACCCAACAAACAAAGTTTGGGAAACTGCTATGACTATTTCTCACAATAACGTGCATTTAATACTGGAACACCCCCCCTCCCCAACTGGGGTTCTGTGCTATTGATATTACATTCTGTTAGCAATTTGCCCGCCAAGAGTACTTTCCTGGACGTGTCGAGGTTTATACTGGCACATGCATGCTGCAGCTCACATGTATAGCTGAGAGCTAATGTTCTCCTAGATTGGTCTCACTGTACAGACAGACTGTACTAAAGGATTATCTGTTGTATCTGAACTATTAGAGAAGATTGTTTTTCTTCCACAGGTACTGAACATATTGACCTTGAAACCTGCGCTGTCTCAAATCGAAGAGTTCCATCTCACCTTCACATAAATTGATAGTTAGATGCTCTTTTTATTCTCTTCTCTACAGTGAGGGTGGACTAATCTATATATAATTCAGGAGCCAGTCAGGCTAATCTAGATGTTGAGAATCTTTACGCACATCCACAGATGACAAAAGCAAAAAAAATTTATGGTTGTTTAGGAGCATTGGCAGCGAGCCCCTGGAATTAATGAAGGCTTTTTCTGTACTTACTGTTCTGAAAAGTACGTGATTGGCTTAAATGACTGATATTACGGTGCAGTGGTAGACCCCATGATGTTTTGGCCTACAGAAATTGTGATTTTAAGGCTGGCCATGCACCGCCCATCTGCCCTCTGCCCTGCACCCCCCTGAAATGATGGCAGATAGCACAGGAAGCAATAGCTTCTTTGCTATCTGCTGTTTTGTTTGTTTTTTAGTATTCTGACAGCGCTGCCGTCAGAATAATAATTTAAAAAAACAGCTTAGGAATGAATAGCTAGATTGCTATTGGCTATTTCAATTTGCAATATACAATACCAAGCTGGCTATGGAGAACTTCAGGTCCCCTCTGCTGATTGACAGCAGCAGTGGGCGGGTGCAATAGCTAGTCTGCTATTGGCTATTGCAAAGTGAAATAACCAATAGCAAGCTAGCCATTCATTCCTAAGCTTTTTTTTTTTTATTTCTCTGACTGACTATGGCCGGCGGCCCCGATGTCATTGCAGGGAAAGGTTTACTCTGCTAGATTGAGCAGAGTGAACCTTTCCAGGAGAAAATGTTTCTCTCCCGGGTGGCCGGGAACTGCTATCTAATAGCGGGAGACTCCCAGAGCGTCCGGGAGAGTTGGGATGTCTGGATAATGCCATCAGAGACTTGTACAAGACTGTACGTATAGAAAATCACTATAACAATATTTTTTGCTCAGATTACGCAACAGACTTCAAAATCTGAAAGATGCATGTGTAGGCCAGAAAGCCTCAGCTGACTTCCCGGACGCCAACTGGGGAACTTTAAAAGCATTAGCAAATCAGCACATTCCAACAGTCCTTATTAAAGTGCATGTCAGGGCAAAAAAAAACATATGCAGTACATCTCTCCAACATATGCACATTTCCCTGTGTTTTATCCCTTTGAAGATGCTACAAGTACAGAAAAATACCCACTGATCAACCACTTCATTCTTTATTTCCTGCTGCGGCTGACAACACAGTGCCTTCTCTGAGGTGAAATAGCAAGAAAGGGTGTCAGCCCTGCCCAACTGTCACTAGTAAACTAGAATCCTTCCCCCACCTCATCTCCACAACATAACTAATAAATTGTTTTGTAATCCAAGAAAATAACGGGGGCTGATTATACTCTTTGTGCTAACGCAGGACGAGTGAACAGCTCTGAATTTCAGGGTCAACAGGTAATTTTTTGCACTTATGGAACAAATCTTAGACAGTGCTTCTGAGGCTAGAATTGGCAGACCAAAGGGGGCAGTAAAAGATGTTTAATGTTAGGATATGACACTAATGGGTTCAAAGATTTAAAAGGCCTATTCCAGCCAAAGCTTTTTGTTAATGTAATGTGAGAACATGCATGTATTTAATACCATCTAGGTTATCATTGGGGAACTTCCCAACACTTCCTGCCCCCCTATCACTGGAACAGGAAGTGAGGGAAAACCTTTCCAATGGAAGATGAAGGAAAACCTTGAGGTTTTTCTCACGTGCTTCTCACTCACCTCATAGTTCTAGCCGATCTGTGACAATGAGACTGTCACAGGTCGGCTCAGTAGATCGGGAGGTGAGCGAACACATACCGGCGTTTGCGCACCTCTCGATCCTGTCACGGCTCTCTGCCGTGACAGGGGAGGGGCTGGATTTCCCGCTCCGATCCGCCAGCGCTGACTGGCGGAACGGACGCGGGAGGGGGCGGGTACAGCTGGCTCTGCCTCTAGATAGGCAGAGCCAGCTGTCACTCGCGCAGCTGGGCGGATCTCGACATCGATGTCGGGATCCGCTCCGGCTGCGGCGTCTTAGTATACCACGAGCTGTAGCTCGCGGTATACTGAGCTTAGGGTAACGGGAGGATGCTAGTTTGTGTCCTCCCGTTACCCTAAAGAGAACTATGGGGAAAAGCCCTGACCCCATAGTTCTCCTTTAATGGAAGACGAGCAGCAATAATAGCACCTGTGTAGTCCAGTGTGCAAGGGTTATAACCTGTGGCAGTTCTAAAATGCTCTGTGCCCCCACTGGGGAGATTTCCTCTTACTTTCTGCCCCATTGTCACTCTTAAAATGGAGCTGAACTCAAAAAGTGATCATTTCTATGTTATAGCAAACATCTAGAAATTTTAATTGTGCCTAATCAATATGTAAAAAAATATATATTTTATCTAGAATTTCTCCTGAAAAATAGTAGAGCACTTCCTGATATGCGAGTGTGTCTAGGCACTCCTGGGCCTCCAGCTTACAGCTGCATATCTACAATGCATGATGTAAGGCACCGCTGCCTCTGGCTACTAGTCTTGGGATATATGGAGTAAGATATGGTTATGTCACTACTTGCTACTCACTGCTCTCTACCTAGATGGCTTCCTCCAAATGGAGATACCGCGCAGAACAAGGCATGGTATGTCAGTTATGGAGAAACCATAGACAATAATGGTGACTAGTCATTTGCCCTCGGCCTGCCTCTTTTTGGGGCACAGAGTTCAATTCATCTTTAAAAGACTACAGGTTACCTTTTTATGTAATTTTTCCAAGAATGGCTGGAATAAAACATTAGGTCACTTCCCGGGTGTTAAAAAGTTATGACTTACCACTTCCTCCACAGTAGCTGGTCCTTTAGATCGTAACCGTAATGTCTCCCTTCCAGTGGAAATTTTGCCATCTGTTGTCTTCCCAGCTCTTGACCTTGGCTCAATCATTTCTGGGAAAAAAAAATTCAAATTTCTATTAAACTATAATTTGAACAAACCGTATAATATCCTCAGAGCACCGTCCCAGCTTCAGAGCACTACGTAGTGGGACCAAGGCCGGTGAGCTGGGTAACAAACATTCATTGCTGAAGAGATGACATATCCCTAATGCATCCTGGGTAAATATAAATGCCTCCAAAATGTCCAAATTTTGACAAGATACTTTAAATTTTTCCGAAGAGGCCGAGCATTGAAAATGTAGGCGCCATTTAGAAGATTTTTAACGTAAAGAGGAACTTTACCCTCGTTGTAAAAATTCCACTAAGGCACCTTTAGAACTGTTGGGTAATAACAATTTACAAACAGTTATTTTTAGATACCGTATTTTTCGCTCCTTAAGACGCACTTTTTCCCCACAAAAGGAGGGGGGAAATGTGCCTGCGTTTTATGGAGCGAAACCCGACGCCCGAGACATGCATTTTTAGCCACTACTCATTTAATACGAGTGATCTAATTCGATCACTCGTATTAAAACCGATCAGCGTCGGCGGCGATCAAGATGACCATAGAGCAGACGAAGAACGGACGTTCTTCGTCTGCTCTGTGTGATCACTGAGAGCGTGGCGCTGTAATCACAGCGCCACCTGTCTCAGCGGTCACTAACTGCAGCTTCTGTGACAGAAGCTGTCACAGAAGCTACAATCTGCCAAGTGCTCCATAAAGCACACTGGACCTCCCTGCGTCCTATGGTTCGGTGCGTCTCATGGAACGCAAAAGTCATGGCCTAAATTAAGTGTGTCTTGCATATGGATTGTCCATTGCATTTTCATTACATGTAATATAAATGTTCCTGAGACTCCTGCTACTGCAGCACAAACATGACACAAACAGTAAGACTCCATGACATACCATTTTTGGCAGGAGCTACAAAGCAGAACCACCTAATGGTTTCAAATGTCTCTCGAAAACTCCTCTAATGATGACTCTACCGGTTAGACTTGTATTCTTTTTTTATACCATGGAATGTGCAACTAGAAACTCTTTGGAACCAAAATACTTAAAAGGTGGTGATCTTGACCCTGAAATTCCCAAGCGATATAATAAGCCATTGTTCTATACAACAGAAAGGTCAGTTTTGTGTAGAATCATCTTTTAAATCTCTCCATAACTTGAATGCACTATAAATAGCCTACACTGTTTCCAATTTGAGCACTGCGATGTGATGTCTATGATAACAGCTGATGTTCATTATTTTCGCCTCCTCACATAAAGAAAACAGTGAAAGAGTCAACACATCCCACAAGAAGCTTTTTAAGACCAATGGCCTCGCGCCAGTACCGCCAACCCTCTTTGTAATAAAGGTCCAATTACTGATATATCTATCGCAATTCTATTATCTTATGGTGAAGAGGGAATTGCAGCCTAATCCGAACCTTTGTGACATAACAAGACCTGCCAAACTGAATCAATATGGGAAACTCGAGAAGCCATTGGAAGGAAGCCGACGTATGTATTATTTAAAACCGTATGTACTGCTTGAGGGTCCAGAACCATTACATGGCCAATTCTTTCGAAGGCCTCTACAGAACAGGACTTAAGACGTTTAAGGAAATGGGCAAGGTGCCTTTTCCAGGCTGCTTTAGGCCATATTAAAACCACCCATGGAGGAAAGAATTGTCAATACGCTGCAATGCCAAACATAACTTTCCTGTACCTAATGTATTAACATTCTGGAGGAATTGGTGGTTTTCTTATTGTTGCATCTCACAAAGGTTCTCCTATTGATGTTTTTATTTAAAGGGCAGCTACACTTCTAAGTTAAACCTCACTATTTGGTCACCTTTCTTAACCTCTGCATCAAACTATAGCAATAGACCTCAGATACAGATATTGTCTTCCACCACCACCACCCCTGGGCTACACAGTAGATGGTTCTGCTTACAATTCCGCTGAGGTCATGGGTTCCTCCCCTTGTCCTACTCCTAAAGGTAGTCCTTCCAGCTGGACAGCTTGGTGCTTACCTAATGACAGGTAAGTGCCACCCTGTCCAGATGTATTATCACATAGCTCAAAATTAGACATGTAAACTGCTGAAAAATTCGGTTTGGATATTTGGTTATTTCGGAATTCAGGATTCGGATCCGAAATTCAATTCGGTTCAGGGTTCGGATTTGGATGAAATACGAATTTCCTTAGTTTCAGGTGAGTTTACGAATATTCATTGTGAGTAAAACAAAAAACCATATACAGATATTAATACTAAAGCTGAATCTCCTAGACCAGAATGGCATTCGGATACGAATTTACGAATTTCATTCGGGAGCTCCCGAATGCCATTCGGGTCTGGGAGCCTCAGCTTTAGTAATATATGTATATGGCACCCAGATCCGAATAGCATTCAGGATCTGAATTCCCGAATTGCATTCGGGGGCTCCTGAATGCCATTCAGGTCTGGGAGCCATATGCATATATTACTAAAGTGTGATATATTACCCAGGCGGCCGCTATGGGGCCCGGGCACAGGGGAGCCCGGCCAGGGCATTCCTCTGATGCTGTGTGGGCCGCCTGGGTCGCTATGGTGTTTCGGGGTGCTGGCTGTCACTGACATAGCTCAGCAGCAGCTGTGAGGGAGAACGTTCCCTCTCACAGTCGCTGCGGAGCTGTGTCAGTGACAGCCTGCAGATGCGGCCGGTTACACCGGCGTTTGCAGTAAAGAAGGAGGCAGGGCCCGCCTAACAGCAACCTCGCCTCCTCTCACATCACTGGCCAGCGATCTAAGAGCAGGTGGGGCCAGTGATGTAAGAGGAGGCGGGGCACGTCGATAGAAGGAGGCGGAGCCCGGGGACGGAAGAGGAGATGGGGGCCCGGCGGCGGCGACCACGGAGGTGGACAATGCTGACAGGTAAGAGGCGTGCAGCCCAACTGAGACCTTGCAGAGCCCACTATAGAGACTCTATGGTGGGCTCTGCAAGTGGCATAACTAGCAATTACTGGGCCCCATACAAAATTTTGCTATGGGGCCCTGTGACTTCTAGTTACGCCCTCGCTAGCGGAGCCAAAAAATTCAAAGTGCTCCTTTTTACATATAGCCCCTTCTGTTCCTGAAGTTGCACATGACCCAACTCTGTTGCTCTGTCCACACCTACCGACTGGTTCAGCTTTAAAATGAACAGCGCTAATATTAATGAGATGGGAGGGGTGGAGCAAAGAGCGACTTAGGAACTGTAGTTTAACGCCGTGTGCATGAGTTTGGGCTCATGCACACGGCATTAAATAGCTGTATAGCAGCCGTATAGCATACAATATGGATGATTGACAGGTGGAGTGTATAGCCGCCATCAGTCAGCCTGGGGAAATCAATGGCATGCAAATATATGTGAATCTGAGCAGATACATGCATACAGGGCCATATAAAGGTGGGACCCAATGCAAAAACACACAAAAAAGTGGAGTTCTCCCATAAATATCAGAGTCCTCCCCCTTCACATTAGGAGCCCCCTTTCACATTAGGAGCC